TGGGGAAAACCTGGTCTGATGCGGAGAGATGGCATCCATCACACTTTGGACGGAGCCGCTCTTCTTTCTAGAAATATGGCTGATTTTGTTTATCCCCCAAATTATTGACAACCCAGGGTCCAGTCCAGGAAGCAGAGTTGTAGTCCTCCACACCTCTCTGCTGCTTCTCCTCTGTTACCCACCCACACCCCCATTGAAACAGTGTCAACTCGCCCACAGCTCAAATTAAATAAACCAAAAACCAGCTCTAAAAATATAAACCATAAAAATCTGATTAAAATAAACAGTTACTTTACCAGAGCAAAATCGTAAAATCATTAAATGTGGATTATTGAACATCAGATCTCTTTCCTCTAAATCCCTGTTAGTTAATGAACTAACTGATCATCATATTGATTTATTCTGTCTGACAGAAACTTGGCTACAACAGGAGGCTTTTGTTAGTATAAATGAATCCACTCCTGTTAATTATTTAAATTTTCATGTTCTTAGAACAACTGGCCGAGGTGGAGGAGTAGCTTCTATTTTTCAGTCAGGATTATTGATTAATGCCAAACCAGTTATTAGTTATGATTCTTTTGAATCGCTGTCCCTCAGTCTTTCACATCCAAAATGGAAATCAGAAAAGCCACTTTTACTAGTTGTTATACATCGCCCACCATGCGCTTACTCTCAGTTTTTGTCTGAATTCTCAGAATTATTAACTGACTTATTATTAAATACTGATAAAATCATCATAATGGGTGATTTCAATATTCATGTGGATGTTGAGAGTGATAGTTTAAGCATAGCCTTTAATAATTTAATAGACTCATTTGGTTTTACCCAAAACGTCCGCACATTACTCATTCTTATCATCACACTCTTGATTTAGTTCTGACCTATGGTAAAGAGATTAAGGACTTGGTAATAGTTCCTCAAAATCCCATTCTGTCCAACCATTTTTTAATAACCTTTGAGTTTACATTAAATGACTACACAGTCACAGAGTAAATTTCATCTCAGCAGGTGCTTATCAGAAAATGCTGTAACCAAATTTAAACAATCTCTTCCATCAATGCTTTCCTCTGTCTTGCAGAGTAATGCATCAGAGAACAGTGACTTAGATAATCTAGTTGATCATCTTACAACTTCAATGCAAACTTCACTTGATAAAATTGCTCCACTGAAAAAGAAAGTAATCAAACAGAGGAAACCAGCTCCTTGGTTCAATTCTGAGTTACGTACTTTAAAGCAGGCATCTAGAAACAAGGAGAGAAAATGTCGCTCTACTAATGTTGAAGAATTTTATTTAACTTGGAAAGATAGTCTGCTAACATATAAAAAAGCTCTCCGTAACGCTAGAACTTTATATTACTCATCTTTAATAGAGGAGAATAAAAATAACCCTAGGTTTCTGTTTAGTACTATTGCTAGACTAATTATAAGTTCCATTTCTGTTGAACCATGTATCCCTACAACTATAAGTAGTGATGACTTCATGAGATTCTTTATACATAAAATTATTTCAATTAGAGAGAAAATTCAAACCATCCTTCCTTCTACTATCTCTAGTCTGTCAAATGAGGCAACTTTAAAAATTTCACTAGAGCCTGATTTATGTTTGGACAGTTTTTGTCCCGTTGAGCTCTCTGAATTGTCAAAAATAATAACCTCATCCAAACCATCCACATGCCTGCTAGATCCCATCCCAACCAGACTGTTTAAAGAGGTATTTCCCCTAATTAATGTCCACATTTTGGATCTACTTAATTTGTCTTTAATGGATGGTTATGTACCACAGCGCTTTAAGGTTGCTGTAATTAAACCTTTACTTAAGAAGTCTGATCTTGATTCAGAAATTCTGGCCAACTATAGACCTATATCTAATTTAACTTTGATCTAAAAAATTCTAGAGAAAATAGTTGCAGGTCAGTTG